ATTTTCGAGCGCCGCCAGCAGCAGCGATTGGCGTACGTCCACCAACGGCACGCCGGTGGTCGGCGGCCGGCAGAACAGCGAGGGGCGCCACCTCTGGTGGGGCGTCCCCGGCCGTACACTCGAGGGCGTGCTCACGTACCTCGAGGGCGGCAACGACCCGCCGTTGGCGTACCCCCCGGCGCAGCACCGACGCGTTGGGCCATGGGCGCCAAGGAGGTTCGGGTCCTCCTCCTCCTCTTCTTCCTCCCGATCCTTGTCGCACTCCTCCGGCACTCCGGCCCTGCTCGGCGTCAAGGCCGAGCCCGCGGCGGAGTCGCCGCTCGGCCGGCGCACTCGCAGCGCCGGCATCGTCATCAACGAGGGCGGCCGGCGCGCCTCGTCCTCGTCGGCTCCTCCGCGCTTCGTCAAGCCAAAGACGGAGCCGGGGCTGGCGCCGGTGAAGACGGAGCCGGGGCTTGCGGCGGTGAAGGCGGAGTTCGACGACGACGACGCGACCCTAGAATGGGCGCGCCAGGACTCCATTGCGATGGGGAAGGCGCGCCGGGAGAAGGTGAAGGAGCGCCAGCGCGCCGCCCTGCGCCGCTTCGAAGAGCGCCGACGCGGCCGCGATGAAGACGGGGTCGTCGTCCTACGCGACAGCAACAACGACGACGACGACGCGCCGCCGCCAGTCCGCCATGGCGACGCCGGGTCCAGCAGGGGCGCCCGCGTCAAGGAGGAGAAGGCCGACGACGACGACGATGGCGGCGACGACTTCAGCGCCTTTCTTTTTTAGATTAGGTTAATGTCATGAGAATGGCGAATTTCGCCGAAATTTGCCATGTCTAGACGAAATTTATCATGTTTAGCCGAAATTTAACTAGTTTTTATCATAACTTCGCCGAACGTCTTATCTTTTTTTTAATACGCGCCTAGGGGCGGCCCTGGGGGCCGACGGCTGGGGGCCGACTCGCCCCCAGGGCCATTTTTTGCGCCGGCTCACCCCCAGACGGCGCTTTTTGACGCCCCCTGGCGGGCCAACGGCTGGAGATGCCCTAAGACTCCTGCTTGTCGTAGAAGTAGAAGCCCTGGGGGCACGCCGCAGGCTCCTCCCCCGCCACGGGTAGCGCCTTCCCCACCGTCATGTGGTCGTTGAACACCACGAGAGTGCCGAAGTAGGTGCCATTCTTTTAGTGGGTTGTGCTCAGCGCCGTGGGCTTGGTGGCCGCGGCCGACGTCGCGTTTCGCGTGTTGTTGACGCCGTTGTAGAGGATGTCGTGGTAATAGAGCGTCATCTCGTTGCAGGGCTCATCAGAGCTGCTGGAGACGACCCTCGTCAGGCCATGGGCGGCGCCCGCCGAGCCCAGCAGAAACACTGCGAACACGACGGCCAGTGACAGCTTGGAAGATGCTGTGAGGCCTTGCATTGTTGACAATGCAACTGTTTACTGAGCGTAAGCTGCAAAAGATCAAGTAGCTGTGATGTAGTAGAGCACTGGTAAGTGAGGATGCAGCTCTTGTTGTTGTGTGTTAAGAGGTTGACTTCTCAATGCTATTTATAGAGGTGCATGCATGGAACTTTGGGGCATGCATGCAGGTAGAAAGTATGAGTTTAGTAACTTATACTTCCTCCGTTCGGAATTACTTGTCGCAAAAATGGATGTATCTAGATGTATTTTAGTTCTAGATACATCCATTTTTAAGACAAGTAATTTCGAACGGAGGGAGTAGCTTACATCATAATCTCTCTTGTACTCCAAGTCCCCAACAAGTGACCGATCTTGTTTAGAATTGATGATGATTTGGTTGCGGTGGGTAGTACGAGGCATACCCGAAAAGCAATTATTCATTTTGTGCTATTGGGCAATCATGAATATGTAAGCGGCTCATGTTAGGTGGGCTTCCAAAATAGCCCCACAAAAGCAAATGCACTGCTGTTTCATAACGTGGGGCAGAGAATATTCTTGGGATAAATTACGTGGTTCACTCAAACAGACGCAACGATCCGAAAAGGGGTGCATCGTTGGTACGTACTATATATATTCTTTTCGTTCCTGTCCAACCAGTTAAGGCAATGCATGTCATCGCTTTTGCCTTTTTCTCTAGCACGTCGACATACCAACCACGGCGGGAGCTTCGGCATATGACAACGGGCAAAGAACACTTTATACAGAGTATCTATATAATTAGTAACCTATTTCTCTGGAGAGATGCAAATATTTTATTTTTGTAGACATGTCAGCTTGGCATGTAAACATGCATGTCAGAGGCTTGATGGTTTTCATTATATTATACCACTTAAAGTTAATAAATATTTCACAAGTATACAATAATTATATGTACTAGTCGCCAATCCATGCATACGGTCCGGCAAGTTATTCACAGTTTGGGTGCTACCATTAATTGAAGTAGGAAAGTGTCCCGCTGGTGTGCACCGGTACTTATGGTGCTACCGGTGCACCGTATGCCATAGAACATTTTTAAAAAATCTAAGAAAAATCTACCACATTAACACAACATCAATGTATGATGTCACAAAATTTCGTATCAAAATTTGAAACAGTTTTTAAGATACAAAAATGACAAATTTGACATTGGTGTGATAATGAGCCAAATCTAAAGCCCAAGTTATGTTATATGTACTATTCAGTGTTGATTTTGTGATTTTTTTTGTTATGTTTCGAATTTTGACTTGAAATTTTGTGACAGCCTACATGAATGTTGTGTGAATATGCTAATTTCTATTCAGTATTTTTTTGAACATTTTAAAAGCGCAATATGAGTTTGGTGCACCGGTAGCACCACAAGCCCCGTGCACCAGATATTTCCTTTCATACACGGATATTTTATTGGAATTTCCCAAATCTACCAATTCACTTTTTTGGTGTAGAATACTAGCAGTTCCTTGAAAGAGATTAAACATCATGGATATTTTATATTATTATTGTGTCTCATGTAGTCTTGCATTGTGAAAAAAATTAGAATATTTAGTTGGATTCTATTATATGTATATACTTTAGAACATATGAATCTTGGAAAAGTTGTATTCAAAAGTCTGTATTACATTCGCAAAGAAAAACTATTACAAGTCATGTACTACAACAGTTGGAAGAATGTAGTTCTTTTTGTTTTTCAATTACCGAGAGGGAGGTGATCCAACGGATGAAGTTATAATGAGGTCTTTGGTGCTTGGCTACATAAAAGTTTGTATCGGGTATATTTGTATGATAATTAGATATGAACTTACACCGGATTGTGGGAATACAACAAAGAGGAAGATTAAAAGTTTCAGGCACCACGCCTCGGTATAGAATAGTTTGGATCAAAATATATCGCTATTGTTGTAATCCAAAGATTCATCTATGTCAACATCATAAGTGTCGCAACCTTGTAATTAATTCCTAAAAATAAAGAAATGACTTTTTTTGTTTTTTTCTTTTTTCTTGAAGTTGATAGGATGAAAAAAATATAAGAGGAAATCACAACTGTATATCGATAACATGGCATATGATAGATGAATTCCAATTTTCCCAGCACCTTTGGGAAATTCTCAAGATAAATAAGAAGCAAGCATGCTATTGAATCTTCTTTTATACCAAATAATCTAAATTTTATATTAAGTTGGCAAGATGTAGAATTTTTTGTTGACGCATATAGAGAAGTTCATACCAGGTAATACAACGCCCTTATAATTCACATCGTCTTACTTTTGATTCAAAAATATTTTATGTGATACAATAGAAAATGCCGATACCGTGTGAGAGGACCGATGGGGCCGAAGATTCATAGTTCATCACTGCTAGCTAGTCTATCATGTTGCCATGAATTTTGGTGAAGGCTGAGATTAGCATGATAGTGAAATCAAGTGGCATGAGAACATAACTACTTGAGCACAGTACTTCTATCATTCCAAGGTGCAATCTCCCGGGATGGACGCGGCTCCGCCTTGCCGTTGAAGACGTTGCAGCTCCTGTTCACGATCCTAGCATGTCCTTTCCAATATCCCTTCATATGTATAGTTGGTTGTCGAGCTACTTGCACGCCATCTACACGAATGCTACCCCATCTGCTTCTGGTCCATAAATCTCGATTACTTTGACCTCCCTTAGGTTTGATTATGCTTCTCTGTTCCTGATGTGCTCAGCTATGTGAGAAGCAAAATTGTCTTTCACCTTGATGGTTTGATTATCAATAGATACGACCTATAATGTCTAGTCGACAATAAATGATATACCCTATGTTTGGAAGACAAATAAATTATATTTTTTTTGTAGAATTATCTGTTTCGGTAACCTTTTAGTGGACCATTTGGTTCGTATGAATTTCACCCTGATGGTTTTTCTATTTACGTTTTTTGTTATCATGTTAGGGAAAATTGGCTCAGAACTATACAAAATATTATTTAAGAACTATTCACGTTCATATGTTACAGTTCATACGTTTATGGCCATATGGTTCTTTCATAGTGCAATATTTACGTAGTTATAACGGATATGCACCTCTTGTTCTACATTGCTGATGATGATGTTCATAGACGACTGTGCAAACGGCTGTGCAGGAGGCTGTGCTAGTTAATTTACTAACAAGATCTTCAAATTTGTTTTGCTTCCTCAACAGTAAGATGGCATTTGTAGGGTTTTTCCTCGCATTTTGGAAAGAAAATAGGATGGAACTGTGGATTTAAATATGGCCAACACATAGAAATCTTGTTTTGGATGACATATAGAATAAAAATGCAGTGGCTGTGCTAGTTTATTTATTAACAAGATATTCAATTTTCTTGTATTTCCTCAACAGTAGGATGGCCTTTGCATGTGGATTGAAATACCACCAACACTTACAAATCTTCTTTTAGATAATATATAGAAGAGATACCTCTCCTAAACTAACACTTACAAAGTAAACAGTAAAGACGGATAAAAATGCAGTGCATTTCACATACTTATCAAAACCTGCCCTCACACACCAAAGATAAATCAGAGAGCATAGAAAACAGCAGTATGTCATCCTAATATAAATTGTCAGACGTAGCACTCGTAGAGCTTGATGTCCATCTGCAGACGGAAGTAGACGGTTCCCTCGGAGGCATCGAGCCGGAGCGTGGCGATGCCGCGCGCCATGAAGAAATTGCCAGTGCCGCCGACGACGGAGAGGTCCCGCGTCTTGTCATCCATGAGGTCCGCGCCGACGAGGTTCATGGTGCCCTTGTGCGCCGTGGAGTTGAAGACAATGGAGAAACCAAACCACGAGGTGTAAGACTCCTGCTTGTCGTAGAAGTAGAAGCCCTGGGCGCGCGCCGCGGGCTCCTCCCCCGCCACGGGTAGCGCCTTCCCCACCGTCATGGGGTCGTCGAACACCACAAGCGTGCCGAAGTAGGTGCCGTTCTTCCAGTGGGTCGTGCTCGGCGCCGTGGGCTTGGTGGCCGCCGCGGACGTCGCGTTCCGCGTGTTGTTACGCCGTTGTAGAGGATGTCGTGGTAGTAGAGCGTCATCTCGTTGCACGGCTCGTCGGAGCTGCTGGAGACGACCCTCCTCAGGCCGTGGGCGGCACCCGCCGACGAGCACAGCAGAAGCACCGCGGCCACGACGGCCAGTGACAGCTTGGAAGTTGCTGCGAGGCCTTGCATCGTTGACAAGGCAACAGATTACCGAGCTTAAGCTGCGAAAGATGGATTAGCTGTGATGAGCACTGCCACTACTAAGTGAGGATGCAGCTCCTGTTGTTGTGTGTTAAGAGCTTGACTTGTGCATGCTATTTATAGAGGTGCACTTGAACATACATACATGGAACTATGGGGCATGCCGGTAGAAAGTTTGAGTTTAGTAACTTAATTTAGCTTACATCATAATCTCTCTTGTACTCCAAGTGACCAGCCTTGTTTATAAATTGATTCGCCAACGTAGGATACCAAATTTGCGGTGGGTAGCTCCTACACAAGTACGTAGCATACCCGAAAAGCAATTATTCATTTTGTGCTATTGGGCAGTCATGAGTATGCAAGCATGCACCAGCGACTCGTGTTTGGTGGGCTTCCAAAAGCCACACACACGCACTGACGATGTTTCTTAATTTGGAGCAGAATATTCGTGGCATAAATTAGTTGGTTCACTCAAATGGACGCAATGGTCAGAAGGGCATCGTTGGTACGTCAGATTATAATGCCATGTACTACTTATATGGATTGTTTTCGCTCCTCTCCAACCAGTTAAGGTTATAATGCATGGCACCGCTTTTGCCTTTTTCGCTGGCACACACACAAATCTTATAGCATGGAACCGACTCAAACTAATCCTAGCACAACAGGGACACTAACTCCTGATGCAACACGACAAGCTGCCAAACAACCTTTCCTAGTCACTGGCTACACTGACCGCTATTAGCCTAAGCCTATTCGCATACAACTAGTATACTCCCGAAAGCTACTTGGATGCTAACCGTACCACTAGACCATAGAGTCACATATGGTAACTCTTCTAAACTTAACTTGATCACTAGTAGGAGTACTACTTAAATCAAACAAATATTTTACAACTATTCAATAATTAGATGTCTTTCATTTAAATTCTCGTATTATCAATCAAAACGTTAATGTTTTATGCAAACAAATTTCATTGAGAAATATTGCACCCAATTGCGCGGCAATACGCATGGTACCATCTAGTTCATTCTATCTAGCGCCGCATGTAGCGTCCTATTTTCCAAATTTAACATAGTTGCATTAAAAACAGAGTTGTTATTAACATATCCTATTTCTAAAAGGAAAGAAAAAAAATCTTAATAATAAATTTCATGTTAATATTAAACAAAACATGTGAAGTGCGTGGAATTTGTATACAAATAAGTGTCATTACTAGAAAAGACCTTCCGTTGGTTGTCTTCACTGAGAGAAGAGCTCACACCCATAACCCATAACCAAGTGAGTGGACGTATAATAACACTGTTAGATAATTTAATCCCGTAGGATCTACATAACAGATCGTAAGCCAGACATTAGATCACCTATTTGCATCATGAACAGAGGGATGGTTTGATGATATTACCACCAATGGAAGAGGCCATTGGTGTAGGTGATGCGAAGTCCCGTGCCTGCTCGATGCAGGCTTGACACAGGCTCGGTGTAGATGCTCGCTGCAGGTAGCGGCGTCCCTCCGGGCACCAGCGGCACTGCCCTGGGACAGGGGCGGAGTTTGGAGATGATCTTCCCGTCGTGCAGCGCTCCCCTTAGATCGGTTAGGGTTTTGGGATGTGGGGAGCAGAAGCAAATCTTATGTGAACTAGTCAGATCGCAGGTTCAGCTGCTCCCCCATCTGTTATATGTGCGCTGGCGCCGGGGGACCAAAACCACTTGTTGGTTAGGGTGCCCCCTATCAGGGCGCGTGAGTTGGGGTCGAGGGGTAGGAACGTTGGTTCGTTGCCCCCTTCCCTCACGTTAGCTTACCCTCTTTCCTTTTTTTTTTCTGTTCAGCCCATTGGGCCTTAAGATCAATTTCAACATTCTCCCCCTTGATCGTTAGGCTCAATAACTTTTGCCCATTCTTCATAGGAATGATACACTAGAATAAGGTGTTACAACAGCCAACGAAATGCCATTGAACCGCAATACTCATAGCGCACATCCTATTTTGAAGTGGAATACATATTACTTTATGGGGAGTGGTTTAATTATATTATCAGTCCCATAATTCCATAATCAAGATGCTTCCAATAATCCCATGTCGGCTACATGCTCATGAAATATATTGGGTGTTAAGCCTTTAGTGAGGGGATCCGCAAGCATACGTGTCGTATTGATATGCTTAAGATTAATAGTTTGATCTTGGATCCTATGTTGAACAACACGGTACTTTATGTCGATGTGCTTGGCAGCAGCACTTGACTTGTTGTTATTTGCATAGAAAATTGCGGGTTTATTATCGTAGTACAATGTCAGTGGTTTGGAAATGCCTTTAACCACTTTAAGTCCGAGAAGGAAATTCTTTAACCATACAACCTGCCTAGTGGCCTCAAAACATGCTAGATATTTTGCCATCGTCGTAGATGAGTCAACTATAGTTTGCTTGGAGCTTTTCCACGATATGGCTCCTCTAGCGAGTGTGAATATATAACCTGACGTGGATTTCTTACTATCCACACACCCAGCAAAATCAGAGTCCGAGTAACCAATAACTTCCAGGTTATGGGACTTTCTATATGTAAGCATGAAACTTTTAGTACCTTGCATATAACGCTAGACTTTCTTTGCGGCCTTCCAGTGGTCCGGTCCTGGATTACATTGAAATCTGCCAAGCATCCTAGTTACAAAAGCGTACATGATGCTTCCAACAGCTGAAGCATAAGGAACCGACTTCATCTGATCAGTTTCATTTTGGTTCCTCGGACATTGGAATGTTCCAAACTTATCATCCTTGACTATGGGGGCAGGTGAGGAAGAGCACTTATGCATATTGTATTTATATAGTACTCTCTCAAAGTATGCCTCTTGTGATAGTCCTAATGTTCCTTTGGACCTATCTCGATGAATCTCACTGCCAAGGACATACGAGGCTTCACCGAGATCCTTCGTGTCAAATTTTGAGGACAAAAATCTCTTGGTCTCATGCAACATATCTTTATCGCTGCAAGCCAATAGAATATCATCCACATATAGGACTAACATTGTGAACCTACTGCCTTTGAATTTAACATAAATGCAATCGTCCACTTCATTTTCTTTAAAACCAAAAGTTCTAATAATCTCGCCGAACTTGAGGTACCACTGCCTTGAAGCTTGCTTCAAGCATATATGGATTTCTTTAAACGACATGCCATATGTTCTTTTCCTTCCACGACAAAACCTTCAGGTTGAGTCATGTAAACTTCTTCTTTTAAGTCTCCATTCAAAAATGCCGTCTTGACATCCATTTGATGCAGCTCCAAATCATAATGAGCTAGAAGTGCCATGACAATTCGAAAAGAATCTTTAGTTGACATAGGCGAGAAGGTATCCTTATAATCAATCCCCTCTCTCTGTGTATAACCTTTTGCTACAAGTCTCTCTTTGAACCTTTCAATGTTCCCTTTGGAATCATATTTGGTTTTGTAGACCCACTTGCAGCCTACCCTTTTGGCTCCATCAGGAACTTCTACTAAGTCCCAAACATCATTCGAGCTCATAGATTTCAATTCGTCTTCCATGGGGACCAACCATTTGGACGAGTCTTCACCTTTAGTGGCTTCTTTATATGAGGTTAGATCTTGTGCCTTCCCTATGTTATTTTCATCCTCACATATGAAAGTGACATATTCGCTGGAGATGGCCTTTTTCTTTTCCCGTTGTGATATTCTCACAGGCTCATTAGTAAGTGTATTTCTTCTTGTCTGAGAAGGTTGAGAATCAACATTGGGTTGAGGATCATCATTTGGCTGACGGTCCTCATCATGCTCAGGATCTTCATTATGTTGAGGCTCCTCATCGGACGGCGAGACCAACATCCTTATTACATTACTTTAAAAAACATTGTTTCTCCCTGAAGGTACAATGAAAACTAAAATCATCCATGAAACTGAAATCAAATTCCTACACAATGTAGGCACATAAAGAACGTCCTTGAGCTGAAGTAGAAAACCAGTGTGCAACTTCAAGGTGAGCGAGCCCACGGCTTCAACTTCAGCCTTCTTCCCATTCGCGACATTAAGTCTTCTTGTACCCTTTAGGGTGTGGCTTATATGGAATCCCTGCAAAGAATTCGCGACATGAGCAGCCGCACCTGAGTCAATCCACCATGTAGATTCAGAAAAATAAACATATAGAGATTCATCTACAAGAGTGACCTCATCCTTAACCTTTTTATTCAGCCACTTAAGAAAACCTGGACAGTCCGCCTTGACATGATTTGGCAGCTTGCAAAAATTGCAAAGTCTTTCTCCAGCGGCATTTGTAAGATTAATTGAAGTAGCCGTTGGAGGAGTGGAACGTGAACAACTTGCCTCGTTGCATTGCTTAGGCTTTTGAGGATTCTTTTTGAAAAACTGCTTTTTGTTGGGCACATTATTGTTATGAGCATGGTTCTCATGCTTCCTTTTCCCAGAATTAACATGGAAAGCTTGATCTTTCTGTTCACTCTTAATTCTATCTTCCTCCTGAACGCAATGTGCAATGAGTTCAGGTAGTTTCCTTTTGATTTCAAGAGAATTATAGTTTATCTTGAATGGATTGAACTGTGAGGGTAGTGATCTAAAAACTAGGAGCACCAGAAGCTCTTGCTCAATTCACACGTCATGGTTTTAGGCTTTCCGCGACACTACTCATGCTCAAAATATGCCCCCTCACATTTCCTTGCCCTTCATATTTTGCAAGTAGCTT